GCCAAGGACCCGGAGGTGTGGTACAACAAGGTCGAGGATGGGGCGGCATGGTTCATGAGGAAATGGCACAGGCAGGAGGCGGAAGCGTCCGCGAAGCGCCAGCGCGCGAGGGAAGCAGAAGCAGAGAGTACGGCCACCTCAGGACCGAAGAGAAATCCGGGGAAGCGGCGGTGGGGGGGAAGAAACGGCGACCGGGCACTGCTGTTGAAGCGAGTAGGGCGGCCGAGGCAGCACTTGTGGCAAACTATGCACCCGGCTGATGTTGTTGCGCCCTGTTTCCCTCTCTGCTGTATTCTATACTCCTTTGTGTATGTCCTTTGTATTGCCTTCGGCCTCTGTGCTGTGTTTCTTTTTTTCATGTCCTCCCTGCCTACTCTGCTGTGCTGGGTACCTTGATCTGGCTTTGCTGTTGCCTTTGTTTTTGTACGTCTGGCTGTCTGCCCATCTGCCGCCTCTTTGTCCTGTTTGCTCCGCCACTCCCATGCCCTGGTGCGTAGTGCCTGGTGCTGGTACGTTACGCTTTGATTTTTTCTTTGGACGGGTGTGGGAAGCGTCCTCCTTTACTTTTGATAAATTTTGATTGGTTTCCGAGGGCTCTTCGCTCGAACGGTCGGTGCGATACCTGTTATTTTCTTTCTATCATTTTGTTTTCTTTTCCGAGTGGTTTGTACCCAATTTTGGTTTTGTTTCCCCGTGGCGTCGTATGTGCCGGGTTTAGAGACCACGAGCTCCCCATTTTTTGTGGACTATAGAGCTAATGCGAGAAACAACAACAACAACAACCTCACTGCATGTAATAAACTGCAAAAGAGTCAACAAAAGACACCCCTCCCTTCGTTTGGAGATTAGTCATCTCGAAGTGGGCTGTTGGTAATAATGGTGCATACGGTACACTTCTACAACGTGGTCGTTCTGTTGGATGATTGAACACTCCCAGTAGGTGGTCTATGCATACAAGGTGTAGAAACTTCCCCCAACCAATATCGTACCGACCGGTCGGTCTGTCTGGCGCGATGTCGCCCGACCGTGGTCTCGTGGTCATGGGTCAACACTCCCCCCCCAAAAAAAAGCATACACACCGACTGCTTGTATAGAAACCAACACGTTTGACCCCTTCGATTGGGGTAGCACAGCCCAACGAAAGGAAAGAAAGAGTGTGTGTTCGTCCGATCGTGCTCCGACTCTGTAGCAGTCCCATCATGAATTATTTCTGGACGGCTCCCCGAGAGAGAAAAGGTGCCCGCAGTCCTCTGATTGGTCCATTGGTCAACCGGTTAGCACGTCGATGCTAACTATGAAGACGCACCCGTTCCACGAGTGTCGATACCTTATTTAACGTGCATATCTCAGCCTGGGTCATACGGCAAGGAGTTTTCATGCCCCACACTCTATTCCCTCCTCCGGCCTGCCTTCTTTATTAAGTGGTTTTGTCGCGAGAAGGATTCAGCCGTCCCTTTCCCCCTCGTCGACCGTGAAACTCCGTGTAATATTAGTGTGTACACCCAGAGGGATACAAAAAAAAGGGCGCTCTCACTCGACACGCCAGGGATGCACGCACAACCAACCGCCGTGATAGCATATCATCGGCGACCGGACGACCTCAAGTACGCTTCGTAACTGCAGCTTCGTGGTGCTTGTGTTGTTTGTGCCGACTGGGGTTGCTATTTTACTGAAACTTCAATTCTGCGAAGACTCCAAGGTATCACGCGCTCTTGGGGAGGGAGCCCTGCTGTAGAAGAAGCTACGCTTGTTTTGTACAGAGAACCAAGGGTTGACAATCGCACGAACACAGGGAAAGGGGGTGTACAACCTAAACACACGCGCATTATTTTCGTGTTAACTTTAAACGCACGTGTCTACCTTGCTTGGGGAAGATCGACCTGTCGAGCTAAACCTCATCACTCCACCCCATCTACACTTGTGCCTCGTCCGTATCGTGGACATTCTATCTATTATAGCCGCTATTGGTCCCCCCCCCCCCCCCC